TTGATTTTTCTCCTCTATGTCTCTCGTATGTATTCCTGCTGTATGTCGCTTGAATTATTCGACCAGGCAGAGGAACTAAAGGGGTGAGGGGAGTCAGAAGAAGTAAAGGGGTGAGGGGAAAGTTTCCCAGGCCCAGACACTACTCTAAGATTACTCTTAGCCAGGGTGTCCTTGAGCGATTTCTAATATAAAGGCTCCAACTTTTTAATAAGCATGTAGCTCAGGGACACCATCTTTCTAAAGGATTGGCTTCTGGAGTGGGAACAGGCCCAGATGATTTCAGACTTGACAGCAGGGATCTGCGCAGCTAACAACTTTATTCCTCCTGCTCTGTCCTCCTTGTTAGGTCCTCACTGAAAGAAAGGAGCCAGGCCAAGAGATGTTGTGAGAGTTTAAGAAATTTTATTTCATTCTCTCACAGCGGGCTGAGACCAATGTGCCGGTGTCAGCCTTGAGGGGATAGTTAAGTTCTCTTATATAGAGTAGAAGTATGAATATAGGGTCAGGATGTAGGTGCACGAGTAGGTCAAGCAGAGGGAAGGGCAGGAGTTGGTCAGGGGAGTCAAGGGAGGAGAGTGCAGAGGTTGGCCAAGAGAAGGGCGTTTCATCTTATCTTGCTTCTGCAGGCGCCAGCCGTCTGCTCCAAGCTGTGGGAAAAGGCTTATAACAATATATATTTCAGAAAACATGTCCAAGCAGGGGAGATTAAGCGTACTTCATCCTAACACTCCTTTAGTCTGGAAACACATTTTACATGCTGGTCTCACATGTGGAAGCTGCCACGGCCTTTGAACCAATGATAATGCAGGTGTTTAGACCTGGTCAGCCCATAGGATAAATTTCAGATTAAGTGGTTATTGTTGAGCATTTTTGTAGCAGAGTGAAATGCTGGCTTTCTTTGACTCTATCTTAATCTTAGCCTGCATTTTTCTTTTGGCCTGCAGGCCAATAGCTTCTGCTTTAGATATGCTGATTAGAAGAATTCTGCTTGAGGCTTGAGGTTTTGTAAGAACAGCCCCTTGTCAGAGGTGCCTCTCCAGAAGAGGTAGGGAAATATGTACAAAATTATGACTGTTTATCAAAAATTTGCAAGATCCTCAAGACTGGACTCAGATCAGCAGGGGTCAATGGACTGGGAACAAAGAGATTTAGAGATTCTGCATGCTCTTCCTTGGATCTCTGTTGGTACCTAGATGTCTGTATTCATCACTGACCTCTTGCCCCACTCATTCTCCCTTCCCCTGACATAAAAGAAGCCAGAATTCTGCACTCTCTTAAGATTGATTGGAAGAAGCCCTAAGGCCCCACATCTTCTCCAGTGAACTGTGACAGTGGTTTTTTGTTTGCTTGTTTTAATCCTCGCCCGAGGATATTTTTCCATTAATTTTTAGAGAGAGTGGCAGATAGAGGGAAAGACAGAGAGAAATATAGATGTGAGACAAACACATCAATTGGTTGCCTCCGGCTCAAGCCCTGATCAGGGCCAGAGCTGGGGAGGAGCCTGCAATTGAGATACATGCCCTTGACCAAAATCGAACCCAAGACCCTTCAGTCCTCAGGCCGATGCTCTATCCCAGTGATGGCGAACCTTTTGAGCTCGGCGTGTCAGCATTTTGAAAAACCCTAACTTAACTCTGGTGCTGTGTCACATATAGAAATTTTTTGATATTTGCAACCATAGTAAAACAAAGACTTACATTTTTGATATTTATTTTATATATTTAAATGCCATTTAACAAAGAAAAATCAACAAAAAAATGTCATAGGTTCGCCATCACTGCTCTATCCAATGAGCCAAACCATTTAGGGCTGAACTCTGACAGTTTAAATATTGACCTTTGATGTGTTGGGCACATAGACTTTGAATTACAGTTTCATCTTTTTTGGGAATTTCTCATGACAGTCATAAACTGTGGTGCCATCCTAATTTTATATACAGGGAACCCGAGGTCAGGGGAGTGGCTTCATTCATTTCCAAAGGGTAATGAACACCATCTGTATGCCAGGAACTAGGAATCCAGCCCTGGGTTGTGGGCTCAATTCCCAGTAGGGGGCATGCAGGAGGCATCTGAGCCATCATCCTTTCTCTCTCTCTCTCTCTCTCTCTCTCTCTCTCTCTCTCTTCCCCCTTCCTCTCTCTAAAAATCAGTAAAAACATATTTTTAAGAAAATAAAATTTGATAGTTATTACCAAATTAATTTCCCTTTTTTTTTTTCCTTAACCAATTCGTCTATATATGAGAGTGAGGAACTGGCCCAGAAGTCTAGTGTCTGGAAAGGGGGAAGCTCAGCCCTAGTAGAAAACAGTACGAGCAGAGACAGTGGACTATGTGCTTCTTGAGATTAGGGATTGTCTAGCTCATATTTGTTCAACAAATATTTATTGTGCCCTTACTAAGTGCTTCCGGACAATGGACATACAGTGACAATGAACAAAATAGGCATGGCATTTTAAAAACATATATATGTTTATTGATTTCAGAGAGGAAGGGAGAGGGAGAGAGAGATAGAAACATCAATGATAAGAGAGAATCATTTATCAGCTGCCTCATGCACACCCCACACTGGGTATCGAGCCTGCAACCTGGGCATATACCCTGCCTGGGAATTGAACCGTGACCTCCTGGTCCATAGGTCGATGCTCAACCACTGAGCCACGCCAGCCAGGATTGGCATTATTGAAGTAAGCACACAAAATGAAACTATAGTAACAAGCTATAATAAGAGTTATCAGGAGAAAAATGGGGTGCTATGGGAAGGAATAATACAGTCCTTCATAGAGCAGGTTTCCTAAAGAAATTGGAGTGGTAGGTAGAGCCAGGGCACTAGAGCCTTTTGAACCACTGAAGGGTTTTAAGGGAGATGTTAATCTGGTTTACATTTTTTTTTAATTTTTTTTTTAAATCTTTATTGTTCAGATTACATTTGTTCCTCTTTTTTTTCCCCCCATAAGTCCCCTCCTCCCAGTTCCCGCCCCACCCTCCGCCCTCACTCCCCACCCACTGTCCTCATCCATAGGTGCACCATTTTTGTCCAGTCTCTTCCCGCATCTCCCATTCCCCTTTCCCCGCCAAGAATAGTCAGTCCATTCCCTTTCTATGTCCCTGATTCATTATAATCACCAGTTCATTCTGTAAATCAGATTATTTATTCACTTGATTCTTAGATTCACTTGTTGATAGATGCATGTTTGTTGTTCACAATTTGTATCTTTACCTTTTTCTTCTTCCTCCTCTTAAAGGATACCTTTCAGCATTTCATATAATACTGGTTTAGTGGTGATGAACTCCTTTAGCTTTTCCTTATCTGTGAAGCTCTTTATCTGACCTTCAATTCTGAATGATAGCTTTGCTGGATAAAGTAATCTTGGTTGTAGGTTCTTGCTATTCATCACTTTGAATATTTCTTGCCATTCCCTTCTGGCCTGCAAAGTTTCTGTTGAGAAATCAGCTGACAGTCGTATGGGTATTCCCTTGTAGGTAATTGAGACTCTTTCTCTTGCTGCTTTTAAGATTCTCTCTTTGTCTTTTGCTCTTGGCATTTTAATTATGATGTGTCTTGGTGTGGTCCTCTTTGGATTCCTTTTGTTTGGGGTTCTCTGCGCTTCTTGGACCTGTAAGTCCATTTCTTTCACCAGGTGGGGGAAGTTTTCTGCCATTATTTCTTCAAATAGGTTTTCAATATCTTGCTGTCTCTCATCTTCTGGCACCCCTATGATTCTGATGTTTGTACGCTTGAAGCTGTCCCAGAGGCTCCTTACACTATCTTCGTATTTTCGGATTCTTTTTTCATTTTGCTTTTCCGGTTGGGTGTTTTTTGCTTCTTCGCATTTCAAATCTTTGACTTGATTCTTGCGCTCCTCTGGTCTGCTATTGGGTGTCTGTATAATATTCTTTATTTCAGTCCGTGTATGCTTAATTTCTAGTTGGTTCTTTATCATAGCATCGAGGGTCTCATTAGTTTTCGTGACTCTCTCCTCAAGTTTATTGACAGCTTCTAGCACATTTTTGCAAGCCCTCAAAATTGCGATTTTTAGCTCTATATCCTCCATTTCTGTCATGTTTTTTTGTCTCCGCATTTTTTATGCTTTCTTGGTGCACCCCCTAGTGGTCTTTGTGCGCAGTCTTGTTCTAGTTGAGCCTTGATTGTTGTAGTTAATACTAGAGGGATTTGACCACCAGGCCGACTGGCTGTGTGAATCAGCTGAATCTAGCCTTTGCCTGAGGTGATCCGGCAAATGGCTCTGCGCAGGGCTTGGGCGGGGCGGGCTCAACAGGGCGGGCGGAGGGAGCCGTTATGGTGCCCTCAGTCCTGTTCCCAGAGGCTCTGCTTCTCAGAACCCCCGGAACCGCTGCAAACCTCGGAGGGAAAGCTGCCTTCCAACTGATGCCAGACACTCCCGCTTCTCCCGTTTGGGTCCGAGTCCCCAGCGATTCGCCCGTATCTGGAGCTCAGAGTCTGAGACTCCCCCCTGACCGAAAACGACAACCGCGCTCTCAGCCACCAGCCCGCTTTGCGCGCGCACCTCCGCACCTGAGTATTTTCCACACTGCGCCTCCTCTGAGCCTCGGTATGCTGTTCTCTTTCCTTCTAGTTGAAGAGTCTCTCCTCAGCCAGCCTTCCTGTGGTTCTGGGTGATGTCCGTTCCGTCTTTTAGTTGTATTTTTGAAGTGGTTGTTTGCGGCAGCAATCTCCGGTGTTTACCTATGTTGCCATCTTGGTTTCTCTCAGGATTTAGAATCTTTATTTGCATGAGATTGGAAGATCAGGCAGGTATTTTCTTTCTCGGGGGTGGACACTAGGTACTAGGAATACAACAGCAATGAGCAAGCCATAGTCAAATTTCACTCACATGAAGTTTATCTTATAGAGGAAGACAAATAATAAGCAAAGAAACAAGATAATTTCAATGATAAATATTGTGAAGAAAATAAAAATGTATTGTAATGATGGAGCTGGACAACATGTTCTAGGTAGGGTGAGCGATGACTATTGCGCTAATGAGGGAGCCAGTCATGAAAGCTTCAGGCGCGGGGGAAGAGTGATCCAGGGGGAGACGACTGTAATTGCAAAGACCCTGAAGAGGAAACAGTGGAGGAAACATTTAATGCAGACCCAGGGGAGGACCTGATCACTTATGCCATGAAAACGCTTGGATTTTATTCTAACTGCAATCTCAAGTCTGATTTATGTTGTTACAAGACCAGTACGGCTTCTTTGGAAGAATGCATGAAATATCTACTATATTCAGAGTCTAAAATACTAGTACTTGTAAAATACTTCAGTGACATTTCTTGGCTACCTCGTAAACCTCCGACATCCACAAGGGGCGCTCTAGTCGCCCGGTCGACAGAATGTGATGCTCAGCACTCTATGGTTCTTTTAGAGAAATCGGCCGCTTCCGGGAGCGGCTGTGTCCTCTCTATCCGCCCATCTCTGTGGTCGCCGGGGCCCCGCCCCGCCCCGCTCTGGGCCCCGCCCCGTTCTGGGCGG